AAGAAAAGAGAGAATGGGATACAAAATATATTCAAAGGAAATAATGGCCAAAAATTTCTCAAATTGGTGAAAAACATAAAATTACAGATTTACAACACTTGGCAAAGCTCAAGCAGAATAAATACAATGAAACCCACAGCCAGCACAACATGGATTAATGCTATGCAATAGAAATATAATGTGAACCATGAATGCAAGCCATGTATCTAATATAAAATTTTTTAGTAGCCATATTTAAAAAAAGTTAAGAGAAGCAAGTAAGTTTAATGATATATTTTTCTTTAACCCAGTGTATCCAAATATTATTATTTCCACATTTTATCAATATAAAATTATTGAAATACTCTGTGTGTGTTTTTGTATGTATGTATATGTATTATGTATTATTTTTAGTAAATCATTTATTTTATATTTTATGTGTATAGCACATCTCAATTCAGAATAGCCACATTTCATGTACTCAGTAGCCACTTGTGGCTGGTGTCTGCCACATTGGGCAAAAAAGTCGCAGACAAATCACAAAAACCAAAGATTTGAAAGCAGGCAAAACATTACATTACTTGCAGAGAATCAATATTTAAATCACCATTGGCTTCTCATCAGAAACAGCAAGGCAATAAAACAATAGAACAACATTTTACATGCTGAAAGAAAAAGACCATCAACCCAGAAGTCTATATCCAATAAATATATTCTTCAAGAACGAAGGTGAAATAAAGACATTTTCAGATTTAAAAAATGAAGGTAATTCATTGCCAGCAGGCCTACACTACAAGATAGACTAAAGGAAGTTTTTCAAGCTAAAAGGAAAATATGCCAGATGGGAATTCTGGTTTTAGGAAGGAATGAAGAACATTGGAAATGATAGCTTTCTAGATAAATATAAAATACTTTTCTTCTCAAGTTCATTAGAATTAATATGACTGTTTAAAGTAAAATTATAATATTGTATTATGCAGTTTATAATGTAGGTAGATGTAATGTATATGACAGTGGAGATAGAATTCATTTATATCTGGACTGGAAAAGTTCTATCTTTATCTATAGGGATGTTTGGATGTCTGTTTTTTGACTGGCCAAAACAAGAGCAGTATATGTGTTAAGATCTAAATGCCACTTACTACCCCAGTAACTTTCTTTACTGATGGTTTGCAACTGGCCTAAATGTTTGACAAGTCTAGATACTATAGGGATGTTTGGATGTCTGTTTTTTGACTGGCCAAAACAAGAGCAGTATATGTGTTAATATCTAAATGCCACTTACTACCCCAGTAACTTTCTTTACTGATGGTTTGCAACTGGCCTAAATGTTTGACAAGTCTAGATAACAGAGGCCCTTGCTGAGAGTTTCTCCTTTGAGCTCTCCCAAAACCAAGATTCTTTTGTGTGTATGTGTGTGTTTGGCGACTGGTAGGTACAGAGATGTGAAACCTTGAGCTTGGTGTTATAACCCCACACTCTAACAAGCTAAGCTAAATGACCAGACCCCAAATCAAGATTCTTCACCCAAGTCCAGAGAACCAGCAGTCTGTGTGTGAAAATAAAGGAGATTGGGCTTGGAATGTCTCTTGGCCTTCCGGGGCTTCCCTGCGCTCTTTCTCTTGCTGTACTGTACCCTATACCTTTAAATAAAAGCTTACATTGAATATGTTCAGTGGAGTCTGGTGAGTCCTGTCAACTCTCCAAACTGGAAAATCTTTATAACAACTATAGCACAAAGAAGGGGTGTCCCATAAACAAGTACTTGCAAGGTCTCGCATTCCATGTGAAACGATATGTTAGCTCCCAATAAACTATGAATAACCGAGAATGTATATTATCATTCTCAGAGCAACCACTAAAAATGCAAAAAGTATAATTAGAAAGTCAACATATAAATTAAAATGGAATCTAAAAAAATTCAAAACAAAGGAACACACAGTAAAAAATGTAAGCCTAATGGAAGAGTGTAAAGTAACAAGTGAAAGATTGCTTTTCTGCCCCTCTCCATGAGTATCAGAGAATAGTCAGGATGACAGCTTGCTTGTCTTCTGGATATTTTTGTATACACCATACATATGTATATACAGATATAGAATTTTTCTACAAATGTAGAATGTAGCTTGCTTTTTCATATGGATCTATAATACATCAAGGTCAAATTCCAATGTCAGACATACAAATCTACCTCATTCTATTTAATGACTGCATTATTCATGGAATTATTGTTATTTATGGAATAAATGTACTGTAATTTGCTTATCTGTTCCCTTATTGATGGATTGATAGCTTTTCTTCAATTTTTCACCATTTTGTTAGTTTCCTATTGCTGCTGTAACAAACTACCACAAACTCAGTGGCACAGCAACATAAACTAGTTCTCTTACAGTTCTGGGAGTCAGAAATATGAAGTCAGTTTCACTGTTTTAAGGTTAAGCTGTCACCAGAACACTTCCTTCTGGAGGCTTCCAGGAGAAAATCTGTTTCCTTGCCCTTTTCGCCTTCTAGTGTAGGTCTGCAGTCCTCGGCTTGTGGCCTTTTCCTCCATTTTCACAGCATAGCAGCACTTCCATCTCTGCTCTGTCATCATATCACCTTCACCTCTTATGACTGACTCCTCTTGGGTCCTTCTTATAAGGACCATTTTGATTACATCAAGTCTACCTGGATAATAATTGAGGATAATCTCCCCATCTCAAGATTCTTAATTTAAACAGATCTTCAAAGTCCCTTTTGTCTTACATATAAAATTTACAGATTCATTATTTGGCCTACCATAACCATTAACTTAAGTAATTAACTTAAGTAATGTTATAGTAAACAACTTTGAGCAAATATCCCTACCCAGCTGTGTGATTATTTCTTGTACTAGAATTCTAGGAGTAGAAATGCAAGGTCAAAGTAATGTACCTTTTACATTTTGATAGATTCTCAGCAATATACCCACCAAAAACGTTGCACCAATTTTTACTCCCTTCAGCTCTTCTCACAGAAGAGTTGCTCTCTGCCCAGACCACGGCTTCTCACATTTTGGGGTTTAACTGGGATTCTCTTGAAAAACTTACTTTCTCAACAGTTCCTTCTTGCACCTGTATAGTCTTGCATGTCCTTTAATTCTTTTAATTTTCATAGTCAATGGAAACTCACCTGACCATATAGCTTAGAGGTGTGTCTACCTGAATTCAAATCCTAGCTCTACCACTTTCTAACAGTATTACCTTGAGAAGGTTACTTAATCTTTCTACACCTGTTTCTTTATCTGCAAAGTGATTTAATTTTTTTTTTTTTTTTTCCTTTTTGAGACCGGCCGCACCGCGCTCAGCCAGTGAGCGCACCGGCCAT